CAGACATATCCACAAATGCATACAAGTCTGTCCACTCCTTTTGAAAATTTCGGTACTCGTCATCTCTCTTCCTCTTCGCCATTCTCACTGTTAGGGGGTCAGAGAATAGTACAGCATCACGAAAGATTTCTCAACCAAGCAAATAAACATTGAATATGCACAACCCTCAATGAGTGGGGAGGATGGATGGTTGTTAAAATGAACAATTTTAAAGGCAGGGGTGAAAGTAACTTAAATGTTTTAAGGTACTGTCCTATCACAACCTGCCACCTTGCAGCCTTATGGGGAGGGAGGGAGAGGAATATATGATATAATAATACCTATATGAAATTCAAGTGTGGGGCTGGAGAATGAGGGGTTCAAAGCAAAGTTTTGGAGTGCGGGAGGTGCAGGTCTACTAATTTAGGTACTTGAGGACTTTATCTGCTAAAGTTTGGACTCCTGGCACCTTCAAGGTTAGACAGGCAACAAATTGGGATTTTGAAGGGATGTAGCACTTAAGCTTCCTTTAGATTTGGAAGTTGCCTCGAACATTTTGCCCACAGAGCGTTTATTAGGTGTGGACGAGTTGTTTTCTGATGATGTCCTTAACGGTGGACTCATCATAGACCGTGCAAGTCATATTTTTGCTCAAGACAGACCCGTAGGCGGGAATTTTGAGGGGAGGGGCCTATTTGCTTTGTAAATGTGAGCCGCAATTTTTTTTAAATATGAAGGAGCTCAACACAGTCAGGCAACGAGTGTGCATAAGAGAGGTTTATGAAAAATTTGCGTGGAAACAGTGATTGGTAAAATGGTTTTGTTATTCACACGTGTACATACACGCATGGCAAGCCAGTGTGATCTCACTCACACACACACACACACTCTCTCTCTCTCTCCCTCCCCCCCGAACCATCTCTCTCTCTCTACCTCTCTCCCCCCTCCCCAACCATCTCTCTCTCTCTATCGCTCTCTCTCTCTCTCTCACACACACACACACACTCTCTCTCTCTCTCTCTCCCTCCCCCCCGAACCATCTCTCTCTCTCTACCCCGTCCCCAACCATCTCTCTCTCTCCCCCTCTGCCCCGTCCCCAACCATCTCTCTCTCTCTACCTCTCTGCCCCGTCCCCAACCATCTCTCTCTCGTTATCTCTCTCTCTCTCTCACACACACACACACACACACACTCTCTCTCTTTCTCTCTCTCCCTCCCCCCCGAACCATCTCTCTCTCTCTACCCCGTCCCCAACCATCTCTCTCTCTCTCTACCTCTCTGCCCCGTCCCCAACCATCTCTCTCTCGTTATCTCTCTCTCTCTCTCACACACACACACACACACACAACTGCAGAAGGAGGAGATGGGACTGTCTTGGGGTGGGAGTGGCGTAGTGGGGGTGCTGTCAGCTCTGAAAGCTGGATTCCCCCTGCGTTGCGAGGTGAGTGTCCCACTGACTCACCCACATGTTGTGATGTAGTGTCAGCACCTTGCTGGTTGCTGTGCTCGGGTTGTGGGCTGTGGATGAACCCTACTGGCCTGTGAGCACTGCCCAGCAGGTGAGCTGCCTAAGTCACCTAGACAAAGACCCAACCGGTCAGAGGAGTTGGGGCAGCGAGGGAACTGGGGAAGTGAGTGTTCGGGGGAAGGGGCAGTCTTGGGCTGGAATCATGAAGGAACCAGTCTAAGGAGAGGGTTGGAATCTAGGGGCCCAGGGACCCCATCTCACGGGGTCTGAGACATCCTGGCCCAAACTCCTGTAGACACATCACGTCTCTGCTGTGCTGGATCCTGGAGAAGCAATAAACCCTCTCTATTCTACTGGCTGGGGGGGGGGGGGGGAGGCAGTGTTGGGGGAACCCCAACACGTCATCACAGGGGGACACAGGCAGCTGGTCACTTCTGGCAGCGCTGTGCCCAGGGAGCCTCATCCCCACAACAGGTCTTTAACCAGCACTGCGGTGCGAAGGGAAATTGCCGCAAAGCAGCTGAGCTCCACCAGCCGCCCGCCACACGGCCCTGATCCCCTGTCAAAGCCCAGCACCAGCGACTGCTTCCCTCCCAGGTGCAAGGAAGGTCAGTGCGGTCGAGGAGGTGGGAGGAAGAACAATTCTTTGTATGCGCCACGTCAGCCTGTACCCTCAAGTGAACCCCAAAAGAGCCATATTCAGATCTCTCACTCGCAAGCCATAATGGGCTGTCTGAATTGTAATAAGCTCCCTTCCCATAACCGAGCCCTTCATGGCGCTCCTCTTCCTTGGGGTTTGTCTGCTGGGCTGTGGGATGTTTGTGTCCTTCCCCACATTTAAGACATTCGTCCATTTGCTCACTTGGGTGGTTTTCCAGCAGCATCTCCGGCCTGGGCCAGTTTCCCCAGGCTTCTCCCTGTCCCAAGCACTGGGACCAAAGGTCGCCTGCGGTTCTGTCTTCCCAGGAACGTCCTCATATTGAGTCTCTTCCACCTTTACACGCACTACATCAACTTCCTGATTGGGATCCTCTTCCTCCTTGACACTCACGGTTTCATCACCTGCTGGGAGAGAGAGACAATCCAGGCTGGAGTCATTGAGCTGGGGAGAAAGAGGAACAGCCCCAAAGGTGAACCCAACACACTGAAGTTGCACAGACCAAATATCTGGATTGTTCCTCCGTTTCCCCCACAAACACTCTTGGGGAAGGAAACTACTGCAGGTAACAGGCCTGGTGGGAAACTGTGAGCACTGTCTGCTGACCACACCCAGCCCTGCGAGAGAAGAGGGAGGACTGAGGGCAATTACTAACACCTCCTTTTTGCGGTTCTCAAATTTTTCTTTCATTCATCTGATGATTTGTGCGTCAGTCCTCACCTGTGCAAGTGCCTGTTGGGATCTGTCTTTCCTCCCCGGCCTGGAGGTCGGGCACCCAGGGCTCTTCCCCTCGTTCCAGCCGGGCGATCAGTTCAGGTTTGGGAACGGGAAACCCTGCAGAGGATGAAATCAGAGCAGGTCAGGGTGCAGGGAGAGTGGGGAGAGCGTCTCTCCCAAGGGATATTCCGTGAGTGGAACCTGTCCCCGGGCTCTGCTGGGGAATGTGCAACCCAAGAGGACGGGAACATGGTCACTGAGCCCCCTGGGGAGAGGCAGACGTGTGGGGAGGTGAGAGGAATTGAGACGCCCTCCCTAGGAGTTCCCAGGATCTGGGCAGTCTGGGGCCCTTGCTGACACTCACAGCTCTGCAGTTA